TGTGCTGTGCCTGTTCAATTCTAGCTCTGTTACTGGTTCAAAACCATATGAAGCCAGCTTACATTGACAGCTGGTGCCTAGCAGTGTCGTATTCTTTATCTGAAGAGACCTGCAAACATTGTAAGGAAAGACACTCATTTGTTACTTGATAGCAGATCATTCTGCACAGTTCAGACTCAACTGCAATCCTTTTTCCCCCTCTTTTCTCTTTTTCCACCCTCACTCCTACCCTTCTGATTCCTTTCAGTCTGGGCTGTGGGAACTTCGAGTTTTTCCACTAAAAGATGAAGAGGTAGAAGCTTTACTGTGCCAAGATCAAATAACGAATCGGACTGAAATGTCAAGTGCAGCTTTTCCCAGCGACTCTCCCTGTACTTCATGCGCACCCATTGGTTTGCCAGACAATGGCCATCCACTGAGAAAACAATCTACCGAAGAGGCAGAAGACTGCAAAAATGTTTGCCTGGGAATCAGCAATACGAGAAAACAAAGGTGACAGGGAATAATGTGGTTCATTAAGAAAGCCAATTAAGGTGGAGAAAAGTGTAAGGTAAAATCTCTCTTGTTCACACAGCATGTGACAGCACAATTCAAAACCTGTACGTTAGCTGCATATAATATATTTTCTTTCTTGCTTTGTAACAGGCAGGATAAATCCCAAAGACAACACTTTCTTCTTCCTGAACCCCAAGAGAAAGTAATTATTTCAAGCTGGAAGTCTAATATTCCCAGTGTCGGGAGTGGGCGCACATAAATTGCTGGCACCATTCACTTTCTGTTGTCGTATTGCCACATTTGTTAATAATCATCCTTTTCTGTTCTGTTTGGGTTCAAATGCATTTCTGGTTCTAGAGGATTCTGGTGCAGCAGGATATGCTGTCTACCTTAACCAACAACTTCAACTGAACACAGAAAAACTACTTGAAAAGATAGTGGGGAGAAATAATAGCCTCAGATTCTTTTCCTGTGTGGCATGACCGTGGGGCAAAAATCTGCCTCTCTAAATGCATGCATGTAACCCATGCCTAAGATAAGGGTGGGTGAGAAGCAGCAGTTTCAAAGCAGATGTTCTGGAAGACTTGCATCTAGCTTACAATCTGTACTCAGCTCTCCGTAGTGCCAGGGCATGTTTCATATAGATGTCCTCAAGCAATAAGCTAGAAATAGCCCACTGCATTTCACTAGTCGATATATCTGCTACTCAGAAAGTAGGGTTTCTGCTTCAGTCGTGTGGGTATAGAGAAACAGAAGGCAAGAGGAGTTGAGTCAAATCAATGACGCAGCTCTTGGAATATTGTGTTTTGGGTCATCTTACGTCCTTAGTCCTTCAGTAGCTAATGAGGCTCATAATACGTCGCTTTGATATGTTAAAGACAAAGTCTTGTTACAATTTCTGTACAGTGCCTTGTAAGAGTCTCGTAAGCATGCCAACATTTGGTGACTAGCTGAAAACTAAAAGATGATTGTTGTCCAGAAGACCAATAAAACAAAAAGCCCCAAAGCTTTCCATTGTGATTCCAGATAGATTTGTAATTTCCCAGCAAATTCACAGTGAGGAAACAAAAGCAAGCTGTTTAAACTTCCATCTAAATAGCGTAGTTTGGAATGTATCTGCAATCTCAAGAAGTATTAACAAAGATTAAACACTGAATGTAGCTATAATCCATCAACAGGCAGTTTTTCTGTGTAGGACAGTTGAAGGTAATTTTATAAGAGTCTGGTTTTGTGCAAAAAATTTTTTTCCACGTGTAATATCTGGAATGGCACTGGATAGATGACCCAGTTTTAGTGTCAGGTTTTTTTGTTGTTGGTCAAAACGACAGGAATTACACACTGGTCATCTGAAAACAGTTCAGTAAAATTTCAACACTACAACCTATAGCTACATTGTAGTTTATTGCACATTCTGATTATTTTTTTAAACACTTTTTTAACACTGGTTTGTCTTAAACTTGAATCTTGCGTCAATGTCTGATACAATAATCTTTGATGCAAGGTTGGTTTTTTTAATTAAAAGTTATTTCTATATATATATGTTGTACATAGTCTGAATTTGATGGCCTTTTAGAAGTGAAGAAATAGCAGTAACACTTCCTCTTGGCACAGAGACCTGCTTGGCCCAAGAATGGTTTTGCAAACACACCGAAGCGGCAGTGGCACTAAGCTTTGCTGTCGTACTGAAGCTGTGCTGGTGCTGTGAGGCTCAGGTCCCCCCAGCATCTCTGTACAGACGTGGATTTTTCTACTTCTCTTGTCCTGCATGTGTGCCCACTGCTGGGAAAAGATTTCTGGAAGTTCCCTGGCTGAAATGCTTGGCAGGTCTTTTCCATACCTGCATCCGTTCGTTCAAATGGCTGAGCCGACCAGCTCTCACCCAACCTTGCTCCAAGGTCAGGGCTTCCTGCTCCGTCTGAGCCCTGGGGCACTATGAGCAGCTTCTGCCACTTAAGAGATGAGACAGACCAAGCAGACCAGCTGCCTTACGTGTCCTGAAGGTGCCATCAGAAAATGGAAATGCAATCCAGCATTTTACAGGAAGGCGCAAGAGGAGAGTTTTTCTATATAATGGGGTGGGGGATAAGGGTGTTAAAACGAGGCCAAAAGAAAATGTGTGCGAAAGGAGCTGGATTGACCAAGTTTGGCCACCCTGGTGGACTGTAACGGTGCTCCTGTGCTGCTGTTCCGTTCCCAGCTATGGGGTGCTGTTGAACCATTGTGTTGCTTTTTGGTCAGTCCCCAGTGTGCTTGTCTAAAGCAGCTGCTTGTTACCTTGCCAGGTGCAGGGGCTGCACAAGCGGTTATCAATACGAACAAGAGTAAACACATTTTCTTCATCCCTTCTTTAGATGTTTTGTCAGCCATTATGGGAACCAGCTAGTGTCTCACAAGGCAATAAAAAGGCAGCAAAGCCCCCCCCCCCATGAAACATGGGTGCTGCAGCTTCACACAGCAGGCCAGTTCCCTTGTGTTTGGTTTACCATTTTCAACTGAGACCTTTTTTTAAGGCCACTTATGTTCTGCTCCCTGCTGCTATAAGGGTATAAATGCTTTTCCGCATCCAGGACCTTAATGGAAGGTAAGTACAAATACAAACGTCTAAGCACTATTAAAATTAAGCTCTATGTGCATCTACTGCAGTTGTTTTATCTTGCTCGGGGAGGTGCACTGTACCACCCTGTGGAGCACATGTCCAAGCCCAGTGTTACTGGGCTAGATCAGTTTATTTTATCCTTTTTTCCAGTGCAGAGCCTTTGCTCTACACGATCACCCTGGACTGCTCTAGACTGTGTCACTTTATATCACCAGAGTCTGCTCACCCCTATTGCTGAAACATTGCTTTACCAGAATATTGCAACAGCTAACGGTCCTGGGGTTTGTTCAGCCCTATGGGTACCATGCAAGCAGCTCTTTCAGTTTTCATGTTAGCGTTTGGTTCAAGTCCTGCAGCTGTGGTTCTTCTGTTGTTGGGTTACATTACTGAGTACAGGAGGGGAGGCCAAAACAGAGCCTAAGATATTACTGCTGTTAATGTACAGAGGCAAAAATACTGGAACAGTCTTCAGCATTAAATGAACAAGTACCTGAGAGTCTGTGGAAGTGCAAACTACCAGATTTAAAATGACAAAGCGACTACAACCTGTGAAAGAAAACTATATGGTTCCACACTCAGAACAAAGCATAGTACTGTCAATTAACCAGCATAACTTTGGGACATCCATGCCCCCAATTTAATTTAATTTAAAAAAAAAAAAAAAGGGCAGAAATAGTTTGATTACCCTTTCAACGGCACGAAAAGCCACACTTCAAATTTTAAACTACCATTTTCATAGCCAGCTTGTGGCTGCTTGGCCTGCAGGTTAGATACCAGAGCTGTGGCTGTTTCTCTGTGCACATGCTATCAGACTCTACACATGTTCTTACGAGTAAGCTGCTTTAACACATCTAACAGCCATGTGGACCATTACCTTTCCTAGCCAAGCTTTCCTTTGGCAAACCTCTTCTGAAAGACGTCTTCAACGCAGTAGATCCATATGCCTCCATTTTTCTTTTGCTAGATCTCAAATGGGGTTGCAAGTGGAAACAGGAAACAAAGACCACAGTTAACCACACAGGAAAAAAACCAGTTTAGCCATTTCAGACACTTGTCTACATTGTTTGAACTAGCCCTAGCACTGCCTCAGCATTTGGTAGGTGATACCTGCCCAGCTTTGCTGCAAACAGATTTGACTTTGGCCTTGTGGAAACAGACTGGGGGCAGGTAGCTGTTGAGCCTTCTGGCCTGTTCCCCTGGGGCAGCAGGCTCTTTGCAACGCTCTGTAATTACAACTTAAAGGGAAAAATGAATACCATGAAATATTAAAGGAGTCAGCAATACTAAGCAGAGCCATGGGAGGCAGGTCTAGCTCAAATGACCTGCCCAGGTCTTCCTCTAGCGGATTATAACTCACCTTTCACATGCCCCAACAGGCTGGGCAGGGAAGTCAGCACAGGCAAACTGAAGGTATGAAAACTATTTGGTTTTATAACCAAGAGCGTGTTAAGCCCTTTTACAGCACCATCTCCATGCAGTGCATTTCACCTACATATGCTGAAATCACTTTAGTAGGTAACGTTCCTGTATGTTGCTATCTGAATCGTTTACTAGGGCATATCTCCAAACTAAGGAGGCTGCACCTCAAGTGTTTTTAACTATCTATAGGGTTTTAAAGCAACATTCTTCCTTAGAAGCCTGTCACTTCGAGGAATTTCAGCCACAGCTGTCTTAACTGCCTATTTGAAAGTTACATAAGAAGCTATTTCCCAGTTTGTAACCTGGTAAAGATGTTGCACTGACCTGTTTGATGCTTGACTTACATAGTTCAAGTACTTCTGTGCAGTAAAAGCAAACTGGAACATTTCTAACACTTGTGGGATTTTTTTTTAGCCCTCTTAAACAGCATTTTTCCTAAACTTACTCCCCAAACCACTCATTTTTGACAATCAGCTTAAAAGAGACTTACCACACCAAGGGTGTTTAATGTAGCTATTGGAAAAATTTTGTAGGAATGCACAGATCAAATGACAAAATACAGACAGCAGAGGGCAGTTTGATTAGTCTTCCACAAGAGAGATGGCTTGTGGTGATGCTACACTCTTCTAGCAAGCAAAAAACTGACTGAAGTTTGGTTCAATTCAGTCAGCGTTACAGGTTGTGCCATAAAATTAGCCTCCACAGAATTACGAGACAGGTTCAAACCATTGCATTGCCAACCCTGAAAGAAAAACAGAATGTGTTTCACTGCTGCTTGCTTCATTGCAGCGAAGGAATGATTCCTCTGTTCAGCAGCAACAAGTTTCCGTAACTTAACATTCATCCAGTCCTCCATTACACATGAGAAACAAGGGTTCTCCTGCACGCACAGAGCCTTCTTGAACGCTGCTTGGTAGGTCTCATCGATCCAGACAGCGCTTTTGAGCTGCTTCTGAACACACATTCCTCAGGAGATTGATCACAGATCTCGGATCAGCGCTCTTCATAATAGCACTGCCAGATACAATCATATTTGCACCTGCCTGGAAGACATTAAACACCCACTCAGTAACATGGAACAGATCCACTTCTTCAAGAGTTTTCTTGTTGTAAAACACGTAAGGAGTGAATTCTAGGCTGGTGGGTGAACAAGCACTACTTGTGGTACATAGGTAATGTATCTTTTTGACTACAATCACAAACCAAGTTCAGAAAAGACAGCTCTTCCCCAAATAGGTAATTTCTTCATCGTTGCTCCTCGTTACCTCAACACACAAGAATAAAAACCACCTCTCTAGCTTAGGGGAGGTTTCAGTAGCCACTATTAACAAAGGCAGAAGATTACACCTCAAGTGGGTTTTGATTCTAAGCGTGCTTTACTCTTCCCTCTGAAAACAACAGGTCAAAATGCAATTCTCCTCAGCTTTATTTTCCAAGGGATGATTAAGTCTCTTGGCACGGTGACTGCTCAAGAATGAAGCCTCTTACCTCTGCGCACTTATGGATGGTGTCAGGCCCAACTCCTCCATCCACTTCGATATCCAGCGAGGGAAACTGTGTCCTCAGCCACTGAACCTGAGAAACGGTATAAAAAGGTTGGCACCGAGATCCATGCTCAGCTATGTAGAGCTTCTTACACAACCAGGCAAGGTTTACTCACTTCACCACTACATTACATACTGTTAATTAGCTTTAAACTCAATAAATAAGGAAATAAGGAGAGAGAAACTTGGTTTACCTTTGGCATCATGTCTTCCATAAATTTCTGCCCGCCGAATCCAGGTTCTACCGTCATCACCAAAGCCATGTCTATCTGATTGGCCCAAGGTGCCAAGTGTTCAACTGTGGTGCCAGGCTTGATCGCCAGGCCAACCTGCAGGAGAGGAAAGTCAAACCCAACTGCACCTCGGGATGACAGCAAGGGGCAGCTAGAGCTGGGTACAGGCTCCCGGGAAACTAATTACACGTCTGTGGAAGTGCCATAAGAATGGGCTGCTTCAAATAAAGATTCTTTATTTTCTTCATTAAAGTTGAAGACTGACTTCACGCACAGAGTGTTAGGGCCGCGTGTGCCAATCTCTGACCACCCGAAACCGCAGCCACGGGTCTTCACTGCCAGAAACACATCAGTCGGTTAAACTGAGCGCAGCGTGACGCCAAGCCCGCGCTCCCTCACCTTCATCCCGTTCTCCCGAATGTCTTTAATCAGCGCCCCGGGATTGTCCGTCGCTTCCAGGTGAAAGGTGTACTGGTTTGCCCCGGCGACAGCCATGGGCTGCACCCACTGCTCCGGCCTGGCGACCATCATGTGCATATCTGCGGGGCAGGGCCGGGGGCCCTCAGCCGGCGCG